ATTTAGGGGATCGGGTGTCATGAACCGACACGTAGATTTAGGGGATCGGGTGTCACGAACCGACACGTAGATTTAGGAGATCGGGTGTCACGAACCGACACGTAGATTTAGGGAATCGGGTGTCACGAACCGACATGTAGATTTAGGGGATCGGAGTGTCACGTACCGACACAAGAGGATTAATGAATATGAGGGAGCGGAGTGTCACGTACCGACACAAGAGAAATAAAGATAATGAATCTTGAAAGATGTTAATATACTCAATCTAATGAACATGATTCCCAAATGAGTATGGTATTGAGGCTTGAGTCCTCATGTGTGAACTTGACGGTAATTGTACATGATATAGTGCTTGTTGTTGCTACATGTTGAGTATCAAAGTTGACTTTATGATACTACTTGGTATATATTGTTTTCTATTTTGAGTTGGCCGATGATATCTACTCAATACCCGTGTTTTGTACTGACCCCTACTTTTATGTTTTTCTTCTTGTTATTTGTGGAGTTCAGCAAACGTGTCGTCGTCTTCAACTCAACAGTAATTCTAGCCAGTCTTCGTCACACCGGATCTTCAGGGTGAGCTAACGCTTCTAGCTTGGACTGGATCTTCTTCCTCATGTCTTGATGCCTTGAAGTTCCGGCATGGACTAGCTTTTATGTATTTTTAGCTTATTAGAATACTCTTAGTTTAGTACTTTGATCATAGATGTTCTTGTGGTGATGACTTCCAGATTTTGGGGATAATAATAGTTATTGATTTTATTAATGAGTTTAAGTCTTCCGCATTACTTTATGTTGATATTACATTGAAATGTTAAGGATTGGTTGGTTCGCTCACATAGGAGGGTAAGTGTGGATGCCAGTCGCGGCCCGGATTTGGGTCGTGACAACTATATTTATGGATAAAGACTTGATTATTTTTTGTTGTTAACATGGATTGAGCTTTATTTATCTATGAATTATAATCTTCATTGGACTATTCAAAATTTGAAGTCTCAAAGACGAAATAATATGTTAAGAGATAAAAAATATGAAAATATACGAAATATTATAAAGTATGTCAAAATAAATACTTTCATGAACAAAATAATTAAATTAAAACCATACCAACCAAATCCAATCAAATCTAGTCCGATTTTCTTTATTCAATATCAAATCAAGTCGAATCAAATCACTAGCCAGGACTTTTTTCAATTTAACTCGATTTATGATTTGACTCTATTCACTCCTAATAAAAACATCTCTTCTACTTATAATAACAGTGACATTCATTTTATAGCGATATACTTTTTTTTACTTTTATACGGAAGACAAGTAACATGATTAATTACAACGAAGAAAGTAAATCATCTCTTATTTTTTTTTAAATTAATTTTTAATAATAATAAATAAATAAATATACGTAGCAAAACACAATTTAATTAAGAGAAAAAGGATGGTTGACTAAGCAATCCATAAATTTTAATAATAAACGTGTTCAAGTGAATTGAATCGACATTTTAGTCCCTACCTATATAGCTTGGTGAACCTTTCACGGTCTCACCTTTAATTTTTGTTAACGAAAATTATGATAGACTGTTCAGTATTTATTTATTTATTAATTAAAAATTTTATATTCAAATTTTAAAAATGAAATAAGTACAAAATAAAGTGACACGAATTTAAATTAATTAAATATTTATTTGATTTTAGAGAAGAAAAAAAAGAGGTGTCTGAAATTATACCGTCCAAACTTTAGCTACCCTAATGAAAATTATAGGTTCTATTTAGGTAATTATCATTCCATAATTAGTAGGTTGGATGGAACAGTACTTAATCTATTATATTTTGTTAGATTAAATAAAATCCACTTAATCTATTAAATAATACATATTAGTACGATAGTTTTATAAAGGGCACAACATTTATTAGTTTTCCCCTTGTTATAATTAAAAGGGTTTTGCAAGTCGATAAATAATTTTAACTAATTATATAATTAGTTCAAAATTATAAAATGTTATATTTTAAGGATATTTACTTGTAGTCATTCTGTATATATATTCAATTAACTTAGAGCCCATTTGAATTGGTTGAGTTTATGTAGTTTTTTAATTTTCAAGTGCTGAAAAAAACATTTTAAGAGTTCTAAATTTACAAAAAGATTAAAAAATCTGATATATATCAAATCCGAACAACTTAATTTTAAGCCAAAAATAATAAGTTTAGATCGTATGATTTTTACTAAAATAACTTAATTTAAGTGCTTTTAAGTCAAAAAGTTTTTCAGTAATACTCTAAAGAGTTTTCATATAGATTTATGATAATACAACTCATTGAAAGAAAATCCCAGCATTTTACATCATAACTAGGAATAAACAAATAAATAAAAAGCTTGCATTAATCATACTAGAGACTTAGAGGCATCCTTAAGATCATACCTTCATATTGTCTTCACATGACCAAATTTAAAGATAAAAATAAATTACTTTTTAGGTTCAAAATCCATCCAATTACTTTCACTAGGTGGTCCAGTACTATAATTTGAAGAATTACCAAAATCCATTGTATATCTTAGAAAATCTTCTTGTTGATTATGATAATAACTTGCTTGTTGTTGTTGTTGTTGTAATTCCAACGACGTATTCGGTGAAATAAAATTACCTTGTTGATGATGATGATAAAAACTCGATTGATCTGAAACCCCAAAATTCATCATATTATCAATATTATTATTGCTTCCATCGCGAAGTAATTGTGCATAGTGATGAACATTAGGGAAATGTTGTTGATATAAATTAGGCTGAGTGACCATCTGAGGAATATTATTATTATTATTATTAAATGCGTAGTGTTGTTGTTGTTGTTGATGAGTTGTAGTAAGATATTGAGTATTTCCTGATTGAACTCTTTCAGGAAAATTGAGTTTAGCTTTGTTTCCTTTGAATCTAAGTGCTGCTTCATCATAAGCAAGTGCCGCGGCTTCAGCAGTATCAAATGTCCCTAGCCATACTCGTGCAGCCTTCTTTGGATCGCGTATTTCAGCAGCCCATTTTCCCCATGGTCTTTGTCTCACACCTCTATAATGTCGTTTTCTTTGTTGGTTCCCTTCACACACACATACATAACATAATTCAATTTAATGTTTATACACAAAATCAATTATTATTCATCTCATACAATTTTAGTTAAATTAAACCATGTAGTTGTTAAAAATAATATCATCCATGTGTAAAATATGTCTCAAGTTGCACACACGCACGATAGGAATTAATATAGGGTAGTTGAAGAATTAATATAAATGAGTTTTGCCTTTTTATTATTTCTTTTGCTTTTGCTTTGAAGAAAATTACATGGAAAAAGTAGTTGAAAAAAAAAACTCAAATTGTTTTAGCTAGGAAAATAGATATATACTAAGAGAAGAATGGAAGATATAAATACTTGTATAAGAACACAAAATAAACCATAGCTAATTCATCGTTTTATTTTATTAATGAAAAATCGATGATCTAATATATTTTATTGATTAAGAAAAATATACAAGTTTGTGTCCTATCTAGATATGTACCTTGTTCGTGAATTTGATTTGTTGTTGGTTGAGGTAGGGTTAGTGGATCAATTTCATGCATCGACGATGACGAAGAGATATTGGTAGTATTATTTGTGTTGCTAATAACTTGAGAGAGAACAGAAACCATAGCAGACATATCATGTTGAGATCGAGCTGAATAAATAGGGAAATTAATATCCTCTTTCTCCTCCCATTCATTGGATGAAAAGGGCCTCTTCCCATACCTTCGATCCACCATTGCTACTTTCGTAATGATCTTTCGATGGATGATATATCAAATGATTAAATTTATTCAAAAAGAGCAAAATATGTACAAGAGAATAGAGGAAGAAGGAATTGTTGCTTGCTAGGGTTTACTACTATATAGTAACTATTTATACTTGTGAAATGTGAACCAACACTTATGATGCTATGTGTGGAAAGAATATATGGCTCATGCCTTTCGGTTTCGGTGGCTTTTTTTACTATTTATACACTTTTTTTGGATCGTTACTTTCTTCTTTTATATTCTTCTCTCGATGTCTTTTTTTTTCAATAAATTTTATATATATAAAAAATATTATAAATAATTTTAATTATTGTAAAAAGTATTGTTAAATGATCAGAAATTTAAAAAATTTATGATATCTTTTCATTTTTAAATAAACTGATCTTTTTTTCCAGTTTTTAATTAAAAGATATTAAAATTAAAAAAATAAAATTATTTCAAAAGGTAAAATAACATGGACAAAATATCGTTATAACCAAATTTTCTAACTATAAAGGATTTTCCTAATGTTTAATCCTTGTTATATTCTTAATGATACAGTCCCTCTATTCCATAGTTACTTTTAAATTAGGCATGTTTTCATTGTTCAAAATAATTGAATTATTCAAAGTTCAAGATAAATGTTTGAAATTTTTTTCTATTTGCCTTTCCTTTTAGTGAAGTTTTATATTTCTAGATGATATAGTTAAATTACTTTACTTACAAAGTTATATTTATGATTTCATGAAAGATAATAGTGAAAAATATGTTTTACATTATACCTTTGAATATTTTTCTTAATAATGTGTGTATTGCCATATGCCGCATAAGTTCACTTAATATGGAATAGAGAGTATAATTTATTATCTATATAAGAGGATAGAGTTTGAATTAACTTATTTTAAGTGTTTCAAGTTAAAATAATTTGCAGTGTTTGAGTAAATTAAAAAAATATTGATAAATGCTTAATTTTAAGTTAAAATAATTTGCAGTGTTTGAGAAAATTAAAAAAAATATTGATAAATACTTAATATTAAGTTAAAATAATAAAATTATATCAAAAGTTCATCCAAAATAAACTCGACTTATTATAAGCCAAAAGCTACAAATTTAAAATCTTACTTTCTAAACTATTTTTATTATTTTAAATTAATATTAAATATCTATAAACACTTTTTAACTTATCAGAACACTAAAAAAAATCTTATTTAAAATATAACTAAAACAAATCAATTCAAATAAATAAATAAATAAATATGCGAAAAGAGTGTAAATCACAGAACTAAAGTGCTTAATTTTTTCAAACATAAGCAATTATACCCAATTTTTTCAAACATATTAAACCACAAATTCAAACATTTTTTTTAAACAAAAGAAAAACTTTATAGCTAATCAAACAAAAAAATATTTACAATACATATGTCAACAGTCAAATGAAATACTTATATATAATTGACGGAAGAAAAAGGAAAATAATAAATCAAATGAAGATATTGGAGTTTCAGTTTTCATACTTTGACTGTAATTAATTAATCATGACAAAAGAAGTCCCCACGTTTTATATTTTAAAAAAATAATTCAAATTTATTACATTTCTATATCTAAATAAATATATAATACGTGTCTACATGACACCTACTTCTTGACGTTTTTATCCAACTACTAGATACAAATTCGGGCACAATATATATTACATTATTTATTTTAATTTAGGAAAAAATATTGAAATACAAAGATATTTAATCATACTTTTAAAATTTCAAACCATTTTAAAAAATTACAAAAATCTCTATTCTCTCATATTCTTAGATACATTACTTTACGCAATGTATTTATCAATACATAACTTTAGACGATGTATCGAGATGTTGAGTGATGCATTCGAAATTAAGATGAAATGTATCGGACATTGAGGGATTTATTCGACACCAAAACGTGATGTATCGGGACATTTTGAAATATTCCGAATCTCACCAAATTTAAGGAATTTCTATAATTTGAAAAAGAATAGAAATAGGATGTGATATTTTAAGACCAAACAATCTTATATATATATATATATATATATATATATATATATATAAATTAGTTAATTATTGTGATTAATGTGATATAGGTGAAATTTTCATCATTATGATTTATGATACTCTTAGTTAACATAACTATTAAATAATGTGTTACTGCATTATTTTAATTTATATGGCACAAAAAAATTTTAAAAACCAATCAAAATTTTAATATATTTTTATATATGCTAAAAGGAAAATAAACAAAGAAATACGAAACATTGCCAAAACAGGAAGAAGAAAAAAAAACTAAACATAAAAAAGAAGAAATTTGAGGAGAAGAGTCGATTTAGTACTGAGAAATTAAACTAATGAGTACAAAAAAGGAGTGGGAATGATGGTGATTACTTAGCATATCTCTTAAATCTCTATCTTCTTGTGATTAATGAATTATTAAAAAATAAAATCATGTGATAAATTGTAAATATGTAAGGTAATGTTTATTTGTGTTTTGATATTTTGAAGAAACTATTTCTAATTATAGCGTATATATAACACTTTTTTATATATATTGATAAAAGAGTAATGATTGATTATTATAGAAAAGCAAGCAAACTCATGCCTAAAAGAAAAGAAAAAAATATTAATTAATATATGTATATATATCGATAGAGTAAATAATTTTTATGCTATACTAATAATTGATTATTTGCTACATTTTTCAGGTAACTAAATTAAAACGAGTTGTATGTACTTGTTATTGTAGGTTATGTTAGTGTGATGGTATAAAAACTATATAAAATAGAGAGAATTCCACCTTTTATACAAGTTTCAAGTCTTTTCTTGCATTCCCATGGTCAAATGGTGGAAAGGACCTAACCTCTACTTTTTCATTTTTGATTTACTATTTTTTAAAATGATGAAAAAAATAATGATATTTTTTTCATTCATTTTTCGATATCAAACTACTTGTTGTATTATAAATTTAAATTAGAATGAAGACATATAGACTATCATGCAAATGAAAACGATAAAATTATTATTAGTGCACCATTCCATTTTTTGGGGGTAAATTAATCCTCCTGTAAGAATTTTGAAATTTTGATTATTTTTATAGTTTAGTAATAACAATGACAACCTCTTTGGATTCAAATGGCTATTTCTATGGACATATATATAACTCCAATTTTATTATTATTGAGGAAAAATTACATAAATAAATACACGAGTTAACATATTACAATTTCTAAAAATCCCTATCATTTTAAAAAGTTACAAAAATCTTCTCTAAGCTACATCCTCCTTCCCCTCTCGGATACATTTTATATCCCCTCTCAAATACATCACTCCCATTAATTGCAATGTATCAAATAATCCAAGATCAATGAAAAATTCAAGATTTTTGTAATTGATGAACTTTCGAAATAGCATGTAATTAGCCTCCAAATGTATAAGATTTCTGTAAGTTTCCCTATTGAGGAAACTAGAATGGTTAACTCATCATTAGGCCTATGAAAATACTTCTCACTACATTTATGTGTAGAATATCTCAAGCTTTCGTTTGGACATGTGATATGAACTATTCGACATGCTGCATGATCAGCTTTCACTGATAGAACCTCAATACCCTAATGATAATAAACCCAAATAAATGTTTCCCTACTTAAAAAATCTCTCTGTAAGCTACTAATGTTACAGGTTCCAAAACTTTTGCAAATGAAAACTGATGAGTAGCACAAAATAAGTCTTTATTTAGCTCTCTTTTGTACTGAACAAAAAAAAAACTGGGAGCAGTTTCCATCAAGCCCTGACAGCAGAATTGACTACCAAAACCTCCCTCAATTCAGAAGCAACTGAAGAAAGAACAGTTTATGATTGCGATAATGGATTCTTAAAACAGGACTCTTACGGAATATTAGGACAAATGTGATGTGTAGGCCAAGGAAAGAACGGTAGCTATGTGAAAGCCACTGTTTCTAATCCATTGCTAACATCATACAGATTTTGATCAGTTCAAAATTGGAGTTCATTAAAGACATTCCTATGAGCTAAGAGAGTTGAAGATCTCCAAGCTTTCATCATAGATAACCTTTACATTGACTGGATTCTAAATGGCTTCGATCGCCTCAAGATCCAATCAAACTCGAAAACTGTTTCAGCTGCCAAGACACAGAATTATGCCAAGCGCAAAGCTGATACTCAACAGCATTTCCATTCTGCTTTCCTTTCATAATTATCTTTCAGTACCATATACCAGGGCCATGAGTTTCTTTTGGTGCAAGGCATCAAGACATATGCTTCTAGGAAACAAAATTCCGCAGACATATGGTGAAAATGACTGAGATAGTAATACCTCTCTCAGCAACTCAAACGATTTTGTGCAACCCAATGTTCAAATCAGAAGATATAGAAATGAGGAGCGGGACCGCATGATGCCAAATAGCTTTGAAGACTCGCTTTTGATGGGCTTTAATGGACTGAGAAGGTTTGTGTGAGTTGTACCTTATGTCAAAAATGTGGATGACTGGATCAACCGACCCAGATGTTATGTACAAGCCATCAGGTGACCAAGCCTGGTTTATGAGAGCTGACTGTGAGTCACTACTTTCTTGCTTCCACCCAAAGGCCTGAACCTCTGTCTGCCTCAATCTATAATCAAATAAGCGAAGCTGCCTCTCTATAGTCCTGCATTATAAACACGCAGTCATAGAATTAGATTAAGCAAAATGTGTCTATGCAAGTATATTCCCTCAAAAGACACATTTGCGCTTAAATACTACCTAGTGCAAGATGATGTTTCCAAGTGTATTAATGTCACAAACAGAACAAATCAAGATTTCAAGATTAAAGAGGCTTGGTACTTGTTTTAAAAATAAAAAGGGAAAAGGCATCATCACAAGACAAGAATGAACCTTAAAAACCTGCACTAATGTCACCATATTTTCTCCATATAAGGCCATAATCCCTAGCTTTTCGGAGGTTTCCTAGCATTCCTAAAGCAATCCGGGACGATCACAGTTTTGATCAATTTGTCTTGCTTCTCTTGAATAAAGTATGGAATCCTTCTTAAATGCCAGAATTCTAAGTACTAATAAAAGGCTTGTCTAAAAGATTGAAGGCTTCCGACATAAAGCACTATATCTTCCTTCCCCCTCCATCTTAATTACACCAGTTTCTCCTCAGACCACTTGCATTTCAGAAGAATCTGGTTCTTGACTTAGTTCATAGCATTGCATTCTTTCCTTGCTTTGCATTGAATCCATTTAAATGATTGTTTGGACTTTTGATCCTGCTTCAACTAAAAGATCGCAACTCAGCCATTAACATGATAGAACCATCCATATATATTACTATGGCCACCCTCATTCTACTAACTGATCCCTTCAACCCCAAAGGTTGAAGATCTTATCACTGTCAAGGCTACTATATGATTAGTTTTTTTTCTGGACTGGTCCTTACTATTCATTACAATTTGGGGAAGTGTCACAAAAAACAAATAAGGAAAAACAGTATCCCTATGTAGTTTGGTTCTGCCGTAGAAAATCTCAAACGTTTTAAATATGATCATGCTCATTCCTGTGACTACATCAAAACCAGAAGCAAGTCTTAATTCTATGCTTAATAGAATAACTTTGCAGCAAAAAGAGACTCCTGGTTCCAATATCCATTTCAAGTCTCAGCATTGGCATTGGATGGAAAATTTCCCCTCTATGATTCAGAAATTTTAGACTTTTTGCCATTAGAACTTTATGTTCCTTCAACAATTTAGGGCACACTGCAGTGAGGATCTCAAATTACACATTTATGCAATGACAACCAAATACAGTACAACAACAACTACTACTGTTACACCTCAATCCCAAAATTGAGGTCGGCACTCAAAACAACCAAATACACTACAGTATTAGATACTCCTAAGAATTATAACCAAATCATTGCTGGTCACAAGTGCTATATCTTTTTTAAATACTTAAGGACCAATTTACTAGAGTTCATAAGAGATTCTGGGGACGTCTTCTGATACTGAATATCTCACGAAAACAAATATTTTTGCCCAGTGCACATTATTCTAAATAAAAGTAATTGCAAGAAATGAGGAACTTTTGTACAAGGAATAGGGGTGGCAAATGGTTGGATTGGATTGAATTTGAATATGGATTGAGAAAAAATGGTCTGGATTACAATCCATCCAAATATATTATGGGCAAATATGGTTTGGGCAAAAAAAATTTACCCCTTGTGCCCCCCCCCCCCCGACCTTCAACCAACCTATCCCTAAAAAATTTTGTTTTCGAAAAACCAAAAAA